GGGACTATGGGCGGCACAGGGCCCTTCCCTTTTCGGGACGTTCTCCCGGGCACTTGCAGGTGAAGCGAGCATCTCCGGGGGCACTGCGTTCACCGGCCGCGGAACCCCACTCACCTCTCCGGCCGCCGGGACTCGGCGCGCGTAAAGCGCATGCGCGGGCTCGGCGCGCTCCCTGCTCTCCGCGCGCGCGCGCGCGCGCGCGCGCCTGTCCGCCCGGCGCGCCCCGCGCCCGCGCCCCGCCCGCCACACCTGCGCACGCGCCGGAGAGCCGGGCCCCGGGCTGTGGACCGGCTCCGGTCCTCCGCGGCCCGGTCAGGTCCCGGCCGGAGCCCGCACGCCGGTGGCCGCCTCGCCAGCTGGTGAGGAGCTGCGTCTGCGGCAGCTGTACCCTCCGCCGGGCCGCGAACCTCGGGGCGACGGCGGAGGGGCGCAGACCGAGCTCACCGCGGCCGCTCGGCCAACGCTCGAGCTCTGGGGATCTGGGATTCCCCGCGTAGACGGCCCCGAAGGGGTGGGTGGGTGTTCCCACGGCACCGAAAGCGCTCCCTGCACGCCCGGGTGGAGGGGGGGCGGGTCCCCTCCTGGCTGCAGATTCTGACCCAATCAGCTCCGCCGGTGGTTTGAAAAGGCACCCGCCAACCCAGTCGCGCTGGGGGAGAGAGGCTGTCTGCGGACGGCAGCGGCTCGGAGGGAACGCAGCAGCCCCACCAGGCTGCACCCGCAATAGCTCCCGGAGTCCCGCTATGTGTCCCAGCCCCTCCTCAGCCCGAGCCCAGCCCTGTAGGTCCACCAGATTTCGGGATGGGGAAAAGAGAGGGCTGCCTGTGCCCTATCGAGCTGACTTGAAAACAATTAGTAAAGTTTTTAATTAGCTCCTTGTTATCATTCATTATATGAATTTCCAGAAGTCTCAAGCCATGAATTATTCAAAAGCAAACCAGCGCAAGGGCTGCGGGCCGCGGGCCGCGAGCGCGCGCGCCCCCCGGCAGATGCCCGGCTGGCTTCGGGGGCCGCTGCTCGCCCGCCCGCTGCCCCGAGGGGTGAGCCAGCCCCGCGCCGCCAGCCACGGTGGCGCTAAGGTTTGATCAAATATTAAATAACGTAATTATTGAGACAAGGCTTATCTCGCAGGTGGAAAGAGTAGCCCAACCCCCGTGAGAATAAGAATTTGACTGCTATTTTTTAAAAAAAATCAATTAAAGCTTGCGGTCTCTTTTGAAACCGCCATGGAGGACCGGGACTGAGTGGCTCTCATCCTGGGGCTGAGACTGCCGCAGCAATAGCACAGACAAGCAGAAACGGTTCCCAATAATAATTGTTGGAATCCCCTTTGCCATCCCGCTGGCCACCGAGGCCCTATGAATGGGGTGGGGGACGCTGCTTTCCCCAGGGTCCGAAGTCACAATTCCAACTTCACAGCCTAGATGATAAAAACCGGTCCACGTGAAAGATGGAGCAGGAATGCTTCGCTGCAGGGTTGGCGGGAGAGGCCGGGCTGCAGAGCCCAGCCTGGAAGCTGGTCAGGTGAGTCCCATAGTGAGGGCGCCCTGTCCTCTCCAGGCATAGCCACTTGTAGGAACAGGACCTACGTAGTTTTTCTCAAGAAAGTAAAAAAAATCAATACAATCACGGCAGCGGTTGCCTACGGTTTGATTATGAGAGTGTAATAGAAATTGAGAACAATCTCACACATTAAAGAGAAATCTGTTCAGAAGTTAGATGATGTGTCTTGAGGACATTATTTCTTAGACCTGCAGAAGGAAAGGAACAGGACCTGGAGCTAGGACTGGGGAAGGGAGAAAAATTCCAAACGAATGGATGGCACAGACATGGCAGGTGCATTTGATGCTTACTTTTCTCTTATCACTCCTCCACCACCTGGATTTCCTGGGAAGCCAAACGGAGGACAATTTCCCACCCTCTCCAACTTATTTAGAGATTATTCTTTAAAAGAACCAAAGTATTTCCACCTGACCTGTGCCTTGAATGCGCTTAAAATTCCGCTCTCCACAACCGGGAAACTTTGAAAGGCCAACTATTGCTGAGTGCCAAACCTTTGCATTTCTTTCAGGTGGACATGTGTGTGTTTGCCCGTTTGTTTGTTTCTTCACGAAATGACAGTTAAACTTGTCTTGGAATAGTCTTATTATTCCTGCCAGCGGTACACAGATTCACTCGCCAGATAGCAAAGCATATCTTGTTTTGCACAGTTTCCTACTACGGAAAATAGGAAACTCTGCAAAGCATGTATTTTTATAATCTGTTTTATTAACATAATATTGTCTTTTCATTTGGTGAGGGTTTTACTTAATACAAAACAAATGCTTAAGTTCTTATTACATACATTGGTCATCATTATATAATACAAATGTATTTGCAACATTTCGTTTGGGGCAGATATTTTTTTTTAAGCAGCCTTTGTAAATCTTTTCATCTGTTCATTCCTGGTTCTCCAACAATGAAATCGGTCATACTTTTCTATAAAATAACATGTTTTCTTTACAAATGCATTTTATTAAAAACTTTGATGACATTTCAAGTCAATAACAGAAAAAGTCAGTTTTAATGGAAGAGATCTATTTTTTAAAAATACCTCTAAGTGCTTTGTTTTAAAACATTAACAACTTTAAAATCACAGCTTTTTTAATGTACTATTCTTTGTTGAACATCAAATGCTTTGTTTCACAGATTTGCCGGTGAAATTAAAAAGATTTGGCTAAAGTAGGATGACTTCAGAAGATATAACCCCAGCTATTAAGAAACTTTGTACATTTGGCATCTGATCTAGTCCCGGGTCACCAAAAAATAAAGAATCTCTGGTTCCTCTGGAGCAGTAGGTGGCACACTAAATGTTCCAAATGAACAGAGGCATTTGTCTTGAGGGTGGGACAGGTTAGTGGATGGTTTTTGTATTAGCTTCTAAAAGAAAAGGTCATTTAGTTACAATACTTTTACATAAATGTTTTTAGGCTAGAACAAAACATATAAACCTCCAAATGCCTCTGTCCCTGAACCTTGATTTAAATATTTGGGGATGCTTGGATATTTATTAGCTTCCACCACTCTGAAGAGAGTGGGGGTGGGTGGGGGCTGTGGGTTAAGAATTTCTGTAAAGAAAACTTTGATAAACACAGGCAACTAATATAGAATTCATTTTATTCAGAGCACCACTTTTCACATGAGTTGTCTGAAAGTGAATTCTGATTCAGCAGAAAAATACATCATTCTCACCCTTTCCCCTGTATTTTTGGTTGAGTTGAGTTTCATTTGCTGACCGGCTCTACCAGGATTTGGCCTCGTATAGACACAAAAATGCACCCAAATCATAAAACTGCTCTTCTTTCAGTTATGTTTTATTTGTAAGTGTACTGGGACACATCCCCCTGTTGTATTTTGGCGCACATAAATGGTTCTGATAGAAGTGGGAAGGAGAAACAGTAATAGAGCAGACATAACCAAGGAGAAAGCTCAGCAGACATACATGGACAAGTATAACACTGGCAGTCTGTAACCACTGTGTGTGTGTGTGCATTAAAGAAAATATTTACAATAATATTCCTGTTTTATCTTTTTTTTTTTCCTAAATACAAGCATATGACAAGAATGCTGTGTTTTCGGTGAAAACAGGCAGTAGACTGTGAGATCACACTATCCACAAAACGGTCTATCAGAAAGCTAGCCCAGTTTAGTGCTGTTTCAAATGCATAGAATGTTTGCGCTGCAAACAATGATATACAATGTAATTAAATAAATAATGCCTAACCAGAGTGAGACCTAATTGTGTTTCTTTCTGCACTTTTCAGATCATGCATGATTTCAGTCTTGTTAAATGGCAAGTTTTTTTTTTCCTTTTCTTTCCACATTTGTTTTCATTTTTTTTTAAGTTCATATTAAAGGATCCCCACGTGAGATCAAAAAGAGTATCTTGTGCACCAAGCAAGCATTTTACCTAACCACCTTCAATTGTCTTTCTCATTTTTTAATCCATCAGCAGTTCATAAAGTACCTTGATTATAACTATGAAATACTATACACGGTTTTCTATTTGGGAGACTGGTAGTGCAAATTAAAGTTCTTGCTACCCAACATTTATCCCCAGCAATAAATTACTTTTGAATAATAAGAATGAAACACAGTTGTTCTGCTTCCCCCCCTCCCAACATGCAGACCCTTTTGAAACAAACGGAGGACTTTAACTCTGTCTTCCTCTCATTTGGGATTTAGCTGATTTTTTCCCCCCACAGCCAACTCCTGCTCCAATAGAAAGCAAAAACGTCTCAATATTTCAACCATCTCATGTTCTCCAAGAGAGAAGGAAAGGGTACCTAGAAGAGCTAGATAAGTCTTATTCTGTGGAGTACAAGGGACAGAGGATCTCTCCTATTGTTTTCCATTCCATTGATCTATTTGAATCAATAGGGAATAAAATTATTTTTCTGAGTGTAGTTCATTTAAAATAAACTACACTTAGAAAAATAAGTGAACGTGAACGGGCAAGCAAGTTCTATGGAGGGGGGTGGCACTGATCTTGAAATAGTCTGTTTCTAGATGTTAGATATAAAGCAAAACCAAAAAGAACTTGTTAAAATTGGTTTATTCTCCTAGAATAAATTTATTTCTTCCGGAACTCTATAAATTCTGCCTATTAGTCAGCTCAAATACTACCTCCGGCTCCCTAAATATCCCCATCCCCAATGGGCCCAGGCCACAGGAATATAGGCTCCTAAATAGGCCATATTACCCCCACCCCCCTCTCAGCTGTTCCCCCTTCTCACTTTCTGGCAATGGAGAGCAGCCATCCAGTCTCTTTGGAACGCAAAAAATAAAGAGAACGTGGGTGGGGGTAGAGGTGAAACTGAGAAGGAAAAATTAAATTAAATGCACAGAACAACTAGCTTAGCTACCCACAATCTCACCTTCCAGTTCATTTGGTTTTCATTTGTCAGTTCATTTGTGAAGGGGTGGGTCAGTGGTAATAATGGTGGTGCTTTTTTTTCCCCCTCTTCCTTGGGGAGGGGAGGGGGGAATTGAAGCTGCAGAATATGGCTCCCTGGAGTTAAATTTCTAAACGCATATTTTATTTGCTTTTGTTCTGCTTTGTTTTAGTTTGCTTTTATTTGTTTCGTTTTTTTGGTGGTTGGTAGATTTGTTTTTTTTTGTACATAGTTCCTTGGTCCCCAGGAGATTTTGATAAATGTCTCTGGTCCAAAACAGTCCATTTCTCTACCCTTCCAGTCTCCCCCCCCCCTCCCCCAACCCTAACCCCCAGAACCATCCTGCTCCTCAACACCCCTCCTCCAGGCTCTGCTTTCTTTCGCCCTCTAACTACCAGCTCCCCCAAAGGCTCCCTCTCCGACGTCCACACCCAGCACCCAGGCCTCCGGGCTGGCAGAAGGGGAGGGCGAGAAGAGCACACGGAAGGAGGGGGGCGAAAGAGAGCGCCAGGAGGACGGATTCGCCAGAGGCAGGCTGGATAACAGACCCTCCACATCCACATCCGGGGGGGAGAAGCGGGCCCAGGGAAAAGCCCCGAAAGGCCCCTTCAGCTCCCCCGCTCTGCCACCCCCCATACCTCCAGCTCCCACCCACCCCACCCCACCCGACCCTCAGTAAGTGGCGGAGAATTTCATCCGCTTCTGCTTCTGTCTCTGGTTGCAAAACCACACCCGCACCACGTTCTTTTTGAGGTCCAGTTTCTCGGCGATGGCGGCGATCTTCTCGGAGGAGGGCCGCGGCTGCACGGCGAAGTAGGCCTCGAGGGAGCGCTTCTCGGGCGCGGCGATGGAAGTCCGCTTGCGCTTCTTCTCGCCGCCGTTGAAGAGCTCGGGCTTGTTCATTTTCTCGCGCTGCGCGCCCTCGGCCTCCTCCAGCCACGCCTGCAGGATGGGCTTGAGCGCGATCATGTTGTTGTGCGAGAGCGTGAGCGACTCGAACCTGCAGATGGTGCTCTGGCTGAGCGAGCCCACGCCGGGGATCTTGAGGTTGGCCAGCGCCGAGCCCACGTCGGCCTGCGTCACGCCCAGCTTGATGCGCCGCTGCTTGAAGCGCTCGGCGAACGCCTCGAGCTCGCGCGGGTCCGTGTCCGAGTCGCAGATGGACGCCAGGCCGGCCGCGCCCACCACGGCCGCCGCCGCCGACGCCGCCGCCGCCTGCCCCGCCGCCTGCCGCGGCCGCCGCCGCCGCCGCCGCCGCGCCGTGGTGCGCCGCCGCCGCCACCAGCCCGGGGTGCGGCAGCCCCGACGGCATGTTCATGGCCGCCGCGGCCGCCGGGTGCGACAGGTGGCCCAGGCCGTGCATGTGCGGGTGCGGGTGCGCGGATCCGCCCAGCAGCCCGCCGCCGCCCGGGCCGCCGCCCCCGCCCCCCGGGCCGCCGCCGGGGCCGCCGGGGCCGCCGCCGCCGCCGCCCCCCGGACCGCCGCCGGGGCCGCCGGGGCCGCCGCCGCCCCCCGGACCGCCGCCCCCCGGACCGTCGTGGGCGCCGCCGCCGCCCGCCGTGCCCGCGCCGCCGCCCGCGCCCGCCATGAGCGCGAGCGACGGGGAGGAGATGTGGTCCAGCAGGTCGCCGGGCTCCAGCGCCTGGTGATGGTGGTGGTGGTGGTGGTGGTGGTGCGCCAGCGGCACGGTGGCCGTGGACGTGCAGGGCACGCTGTTCATCGTGTGGTACGTGGCGTCCGGCTTGAACGGGTGGCTCTTGCCCTGGGACACGGCGATGTCCACCGCCGCCAGCGCCTCGGCCCGCGCCAGCAGCGTTTCGTCGAGGCTGGCGAAGAGGTTGCTCTGCAGCTGCAGGCGACACAAACCAAACCAAAAACAAAAACAAAAACACAAACACACCACAAAACAAAACAAAAAAAAAAGCAAAACACAAAACCAAACAAAACCACACACACACACACACCAGAAAGCACAACAAGCAAAGAACAAACGCAAAGCAACCAAAATAACAACAACACGGTTGGGGACAGTGGAGACCGGGGGAAACAGAATGGGACGTGTTGGAGATGGGAACGGAGGAGAAGGGTCAGAGTGTGGGGAGGAGAGCAGATGGAGGGAGAGGAGAACACAGGAGCACATTGCGGGGAAAGAGAGGGAGAGACGAAAAAAGGAGAGGGGGGAAGAAGAAGAAGAAGAAACGGAGATGTAAACTCGTAGCTGGGACCCGCGTCGCGCACCGAACAACGCGGAGATCGCCTCTCCGAGGCATGACATGAGCAGAGACAGTGTAGCAAAGTCGAGAGTCCCGGCCCCACCGGTCCCCACTCTAATCGCAAGCGCCCGACAGGAAGGCAGGAGCGACAGAGACATGACATTACGTGCCCCTGTACAAAAAAAATGTATCAAGCAACGGGATTTCTAAAAAAAAAAAAAAAAAAAAAAAAAAATCCCTGCCCTCGAATCCCCGCACCGGGACCTTGGCACACACACACACACCAGCGCCCCACATGCAGCATCTCTCGGAGACCGGGAGGGGACGAGCACGCGGGCTGGGACCGCGGGCTTGGGGGCGCTTACCGGCGGCGTGGGCAGGCAGGCTCGCCGGATGGCCTCGGAGCTGGAGTGCAACGACGGGTACTTGTGCTCAGGGAGGGTGGGATGCATGGCAAAGTGGGGCTGCTTGCTGTTCATGGACATCATCTTGACGGCTTGGCAGGTAAATCCACAAACACTCCGAAAGTCCGCGGGAAAAGTCCACGCGCCGGTCCCCCTGGCCTCCCTTCGGAGGCTGCAGCCTCGGCGGCTGGCGGCGCGGAGGCGGCGGCCACGCGGGGGGCTGCTGCTGCTGCTGCTGCTCCTGCGGTCGCCGCTGCCTGCCGCCCGGCGCTCCCTTGGACCGCGCAGAGCGAGCCCACTTCTCCAAGAGCTCTAGCCCCGCGCGCGGACGGGATGCACTCCTCTTACACCTGAGCCCCACTTCTCGCGGCCGGCCTGGGGAGCTCTCGCGAGAGCTCTCGGCCCCGCCGCGCTGCTGACAGTCATCAGCTGTCTGGGTCTGTCTGACGCGCGCTCTCCCGCTCCGCGGCGCGCGGTGCCACTGCGCGCGCGCGCGCGCTCGCCGAGCCAGGGACCGGCGCGTGGGAGCCACTCTTCTTAGAGTGACCACCGGCGAGGACAGCGCAGGTGTTGTACCTGTAGCTGGCCAGGCATGCGCACTGCACACCTCACCTTTCCCCACCTCGGGTCTGAAAAGATCAAAAGGGCCAGCGATGGTCTGAGGGGTAGGCACCTTCTAAGCAGAGAAAGCCACCTTGTTCGTTCACTCGCTGCCCAAGGTTTCCCCAGCTTCTCCCAACCCCCGCCCCCTGCGCAAGCCCTGAATATATGCGCATCACTTAGGCACACCTCCTCGCTGGGATGTCTAACAAGCTGTTATGTAAGGTATAGAGCTGGGCATTTGTATGTTAAATTATGCCCGCGCATTCCTCTGTATACAGTATAAATAACAACACAGAAAATGCAGAAGGTGCTGTCCTGGGCTCCAAGAGCCTGCTTCTTTCAAGGTTTATAAATAGGTTCCTGGAGGATAATCGCGGTGACAGACGTTTGTTTGAAGCAGTCAGACGCTATTGATTTCCATATAATTTAATTTCCTCCGCACACTTTTGTTGTTGTTTTTTGTGAATATAACTGTGTCAGGCACCGACAGTGACAGCCACTTAGAAGCCACAAGGAGCGTGTGCTTTCTATTCGGGGAATGGCTGTTGAAATGAAATTGCACCTTTCTCTTATTGTTTGTCTCCTTTAACTGTGTACAAACCCACATTTCAAACGAGCTCCGGGTGATCTGAGGCTTCTAGTAAACAAAAGGAAAAATAGTTAACAGGGTGTAGTTGGGATCCTTTCCTTCCCTCAGCATACACACACACACACACACACACACACACACACACACACACACACACACTTTATGCTGGAAACTCCAGGAAAAGGAAATCACTTCAGAGAAAAGGGAATAAGATGCTGGAAAGAGAACTTTCTTTTCCTCCCATCGTTTTGGCTTCTTCGCCACGTATATTTTTTCTTCAATAGGAGACAGGGTTAAGCCAGTTTATTTAAAAAACAAACAAACATGTAATTAAAATATTAACCCAAATCAATTTGAAAGAACGGGGCCCAAGCTCTGACATGGCTTTTATAGTATTTATTTTTGTTACTGTAAAGTCAAAATCCAAAAAGAGAATAAATCAATTACCCAACCTATTGTATGACCCTTTCATGGTGGGCAAATCCAGGGCCTCACAAGGGACCACAGTTCAGGTGCCTGAGTCCCCAGGGAGCAGCACTTGCCCGGAGTGATAATAGCCCAGATGTTATCACATCTGGGGCGAGGGAGCTGGACAGCGGAAAAGGGCTGCCTCTGGGAGGCAGAGATCAGATAAATAATTTTCCTGGTCTCTCCCACACCAAAGGGGTCTGTATTTCCACCAATGAGCACATCTCATTTCTTATAAACCTAAATTTGCATTCGCATTTGATTTTATCTTTTCTTTGGACAATAGTCTGTGTATTTAGCATACTCGCTCACTAATCAAATTCTAAGAGGAGCCCACAGGCGTCACCGTGGCTTTTCTTTTCTTTCATTTTCTCTCTGCCCACCCCCACCTCCAACCCGCCCCTTGCAGCCCAAGAAGGGAGTAAGACGGATGTTCATTTGCTGGTGCGAGAAGGAGCCGCATTTCCATCCATTACACAGTCCCCTGGGAGTGCTAAATGTAACTTTATCTCCTGGAGAAATGGACGATGAGCAGGACAGCGCTGGAGGGAACGGGAAAGTCCCACGCAGTGGCCGAAGCGGGTGTCCAGGGTTAACCTGATCCCTTCTGACACCCTTCCTGGCGCTTCTCTGAGCTCTCCCTCAAGGGAAAGAAGGGACCCCTGCTGCGGGCGAGAGCCGGGATCTAGCACCCACCCAAGGGAAACGCTGACCTTTAGGGGCCATAAAGGGTTCAGGGAGACAGAATGCATCGAGTTGAGCCCAGGTGGACTTCCAGAGAGCAAGGCGTACCTCAGAGTACCCAAAGCTCACCCTGATTTACCATCCAAAGCTTGGAGGGCACCAGTGAGCCCAGTGAGCAGAGAGGCAGCTGGGTTAAGGTCAGGAATTCACTGCCTTGCGGAGATCACTTTTAGCTTACTCTTTGGACACCGGATCCCTTCTTACCTTGGGGGTGGTTTTGAGGGGGGTGGGTCAGACCTTTACCCAGAATATCTTGCTTCTCCAGGGGTTAGACATAAGAGGGCTGTGGGCACAGTTCTCAACCCACTCCCCAACCAATTGGTTGGAAGTCCATTTCAAGCACATCTTTGTCCACCATGGCGCTTGAACAGAGTAAAAATGCCCCATACAACAATACATGAGAACAGGAGGGAAGAGAAGGCAGATGGGGAGGGCCAGGATTAAAGCTAGAGAGGCTTCAAGAATTCAGGGCTACTGGGAGGCAAGCAGGAAGATCACTGACAGGTCTCTTTTTTCCCTAAAAAAGGAGATGGAGACTGGCCAGAGGGGTGTGCTGTCCTCACACAGAGCTTGTACATCTTAACTTCATATGTTCTATTTCCAAAATCAATGATTTCACCTCCCTCTCTCTTTTGTTTTCTACCTTCCCTTCCTTCCTCAGATGCTCGCTGGGCACCAGTCTGGACCAAGACAAGACACTGGAGATCAAATGAGTTGTAAAATGCGGGCATCTGCACTCCAGGATGTGGCAGTCTCTGATGGCGAGGTAGCTACAGGTGAAGAGGCGTTTTTTGCACAGGTGTGACAGGTGCAAGGTGAGGTAGTTGTAGAGAAAAATATGGGGTTGGAGGTGGGAGTGGGGTGATGGTTGGAGAATTATCCTGCCATATCCCTGCTGGACATTAACCCCAGGCTAGAAAGTGGGGCACAGCAGTGGATCTAGAGGCAGGTGTGCCTTAGACCTTACCAAGCCTTTCCTTATGAACCCATGAAAGGAAAGGGTGGTGGACCGGGGCTCAGCCCAGGAGTACCTCACTGTTCCCCAGTTTGGCAAGTGCAGACACTAGTTGCCCCCTGCATGTACTCAGGATGCCCACAGGGGCTGAGCTCGGTGTAGATTCCCAAGCAGGTCCCCACCCCCACCCCCACCTCCTCCTCCTTGTTTAATGACCCACACAGACTCCCCCCTCCCCCATCCCATAGCTTTGCATTTTATCAAGGGGCGGATAATGAATGCACAGCTATTGATTTCCAAGGAATTTCCGCCCCCCAGGGATGGGGAGTCTATCATCTGGATCAGAGACACATTTCTTTCCCTCATTAATTAATTTTCTCCTCCTTCTCTGGCAGGTCCCACTTAACGTTTCCTTTGGCAGAGCGTCCTTCCCAAGCTCAGGGAGCAGACTTCCCTGGGTTCGAGTGAGGACCGGAGGCAGAGGCGCTGTGGGGGAGCCCGCACTGTTGGGGTGACGTCTCCTCGCCTTTGACTGTCCTACGCTCCTGCTTCCCCCTGGTCCTCCCCCCCCCCCCCCCCCACACACCACACACACACACACACACACACACACACACACACACACCAAGTTCAGGAGAGAGTGCCTGACGGCTCCGCTCTCTGCCGCTGCCTTTCTCCTTCCAAAGGGGTTTGGGGGAAGTTAGCGCTGGACTCAGGAACCGCTGCCTGCCTCCCCCCCTCTCCCTCCATCCATTGCAGTTATGTTTCCTGATTCAGGCAGTTTCTTGGCCGATTGAAATGTTTACTTAAGTGCGCGGAGGTTGTGTGGGCACAGGAGAAGGGACCCACGTTCTTGCCCAAACCCGGGGACCGGGCCCTACCCGCAGGCTGGGCCACCTCAGGTTCCGGTGGCCCAAGGGGGACCTCTGCTCCTCCCAGACTGGGGACCCCAGATGTCCCTCCGGCGGTTGAAACTAGGCATTCACCGCGTGGAGGGGAAGCCCCCGCAGTCCAGAAACAGCCTGTTTTAGATGAGGCTTGGGCTGTTCCAGGCAGTGGGAAGAGGAGCCTGCCTGTGGTGGGGATGGGGGGTGAGGGCGGGGGGTGTTTCTCGAAAGAGGAGTGGCACTAGGGCGGTCCTCCCATGCCCCAGCTCGGACACTGTCCGAAGGGTAGAGCTAGAGGAAGGACTGGTAAGGTCCTTTCCACTTGGACTCTCTTCGCCTTCTCAGGGCCACGCCTGAGCTGTTTTGATCCTTCGGCTCCCAGCGCTACCCTCCGGCATTCCGGCATTCCAACTCGGTCCTACCTTGGCGAGAAGACTGGGCTCCTCACCGGCCCTGCCAAGGGCCCTGGACCGCCCACCACAGCGCCCACCTCTGCCTCCCGCAGGGCCCAGCTCAGGCCAAGGCGCCGGGCCAGGAAGAGTCGCGTTCTCGCAGGCTGAGGCTTGGAGGCTTCCTGGAGGCTTTGGTCCTTCCTTCCTCCCTGTCCCGGGCCACACCCGGGGCCGCTGGTCTTGGTCTGTCCCCAAGGTCAGGGGCGAGGGGATGAGTTATTGAGACCCGTAGCGAGGCTCTCAGCCCCGCATCCAGACTGGGCTCCAGCTGGGATTCGCGGACTACGTTTTAGAGTAATCCAGTGCAAAATCCACTATGTTGTTCCTTCTGTCCGTTTAATTCAAATGCAACTTCCGTTGGGAACATTTTCATGGATGTTGACCACCCACCCAGAGACGCCCATGATGCTCTCCAGTGAACTTCCCTGCGGGTCATCATCCCTACGCACTACCTAAGTAGACGTCTATGTGCAGGGCTGGGCACATGTAGGTTTACAGTTGTGAGTACGCGAAACAGAGTTTATCTTTGTATTTTTATTTATTCACTATTGTATTCTTTTCATACGAACTGACTGTAAACCAGTTTTGCCCTCCCCTGTATGTACCTATCTCCAGCCTAATAATCTCCCGGTGGCCTTGAAGCCCTAGGGGTGATACAAGACAACTACGTCTCCGTCCCAACAGGGCACGCCTTCCGCGCCCGCTAGTTGCCTGGACCAGTTGGGTTGCCCCAGTGCGCAATGCTGTGAGCGCTCAGGATGGCCACAGGCCCCTGTGGTTTAGGCCCCAAGAGCCGCCCCTGCCTCGCCCAGGCAGCTTCAAGACTGCCAGAGCGCGCTGGGTTAGAGAAAGGGTTTCGAGTTCCTCTGGATTAAAAAACTACGAACAAACCAATTCTGCAACAGACACGTCCGCCCAGGACCCCAGGCGAGGAGTAGGAAGTTCCCCGGCCTTCGCCTGCCGCCTGCCTCGCCCGCAGCGGCGACCCGGACGCGCCCTCCCGGGCTGGAGGGAGCTCCGCCGGCGCCAGTGACCAGCAGCGGACCCCCAGCCCGGCCGCCAGGGCCGTCCCCGGGGCCGAGGGGCGGGCTGCGCTGCCCTCCGCAGGCACAGCTCTGCCTGCGGGAGCGGGATCCCCCAAAGGAGGGAAGCGCCCAGCCGCGAGTCCACACGCCGGAGTGAGGAGCTGGGTCCGAGGAGCTGGGTCCCGCCGCCCGCCGCCCCTCCTCCCCGCCGCCGCCCGCACACATCAAAGCCCCTTGCGAGGGGGACTGGGAAATAGTTTGCCTTGTCATGTAACACATTGCCCTGATTTATTATAAAATTTTAACGAAATCATGCATATTTCAACAGCCTTTAATCACTGCATGAAAATTTAATTCATGGACTGTAGCGCGTTTAAATAAATGAAGTGTTAATTCATTAGGATTAATTAATTTGTTAAAGGATTGTGTGCAAGGTTAAGGTGGGAAGGAAAACTCTTTGTTGGTGTGGCGTCTTCATCGCCGGGTCCGTGCGTGGTAATAAAATTATAAAGGGGACCGCGGAGCCAGTCGTTTCTCCGGGTGGGGCCGGGGCGGGACCCGCGGAGAGCGAGCGCCCTCCGAGGCGCTGGGAACCCCGGCCCGGGGGGCGCGCCCCGCGCGTCTGTGCTCCCGCTGGGCCGGTTCGGAGGAGGGGGGAAGCGGTACTGGGTGCGGGGATCCGGGAAGGCTGGGCTCGCTGGAACCGCGGGGAGGAAAGAAGGCTCAGGGCCCGGTCCGAGGGCCAGCTCTTCCCCGCCTCCACCCACCCCTACCCCGGCACAAAGATGACCCGTGAGTGAAGCGAGGTCGCGCCTTCCGGCCTTCGGAGCGCCGAGCCTCGGCTTAATGGACAGATGATGGGCCAGTCCAGCCACCTCCTGAGACTCTCAGCGCCCAGGGAGTCACTGTCTCGCCATCAGGCGGCCGCCGGCCCTCGCGGCGAGGGCAAGCCTGGAGTCTCCGGAGATGCTCAGAGGGAGAAGGCGGGGCAAAGGCAAACTTGCAAGATCAGGCTGGAGCATCTGGAAACCTTTTTTCAGTCGGGAACCCTGACCCTAGAGAATGGTTCCTTCTGCACCTCTTCCAGGAGTAGGCTAAATAGGCCTCCCATCCAGCATAGTGGCCACGCAGGAAATGCCCTTCCACACTTGACTATTATTCATCCTTAAAGACCCAGTACAAATAGTACCAACGTGAAGCCATCCGGTTTCCTCTTGGCTCCACACTCTCTCCAACAGAACTTTTCCATTCACCAATGGGTGTGTTGTAAGAATTATAATGGAGCAGAACTAGGTCCTCCCTCCTCACGGAAAATCTCAGTAAAAACCTATGTAAAATTCTTGTCCTTAGGGATTGAATCTTTCCACCCCCAAATTATAAGTGTCACGGATGACCCATGATTCTACACACTTGCCTAATCCAACTAACATTTACTAGAGGAGGTCTGCTCCCTGTTAAAACACAGCAGATCCAGGAACCTTCCATCTTTCAAGAAGTATAGCTTCAATTCAAGGTATTCTAGCCTGCCTGTCATATAAAACAAAATCACCCTAGCCTGAGTTCCAGATGAGTTCTCAAAAGAAATCTGCATTTAACAGATGCTTCCTCGCTCAGAGTAGGGTTCCGAGAATTAGGCAATAAATGTTCACTATGCACTCTGAGATCATTGCTTAAAAGGTTTTCTCTCTGCCAAGTATTATAAGGATCAGGTTACATCATGATGGGCAAAGACTATGCTGTAGGACTCCCACAAATAGGAATGAAAGACCTTCTTAGGAGGCCTTGGGAAACCCCTCTAATCCAATAGGCCACATTCAACAAAGTTAAACTGTTAATCTAATGTTCTCAAATATTCACAAGGTCAAAAGCAAAGGGGAAAAAAATCTAGTGTATATATTTTAAAAACTGAAAGCATTGAAGTATATAGAAACAAGTTCCTAAAACATTTTAGGGTTCAAGATCAAAGTTCTTCCCTTTTTCAGTGTTACCTACAGTTGTTTCAAACCAAGGTAAATGAAAAAGAGTTTAGAGAAAAACAAAGTAGATTTGAAATTAAGGGTCTACCATTTTGAGTTTTGGTCTGTTGATTCATTAAAACAGGAAAAAGACTTGCTTTAAATGGGATGTAGATTTTGAAAATTAAAAGATGAAAGCTAAAGGTCATGTAAAGAAAAAAAAAACCTAGCATTCACACTGTATAGCATTTTAGAAAGATGAGCAGTCAACAGATGCTGTTTTTATAAAGACATGAACTAATAAGTGTCTGCTTCCTTTATCACTAGTGCATCTTTTTCTAGCATAGCCTTAATGCTATTTTTGAATTCATGTAAGTGTCAGAGTTAATGTGAATGTTTATAAACTTAAAAGTGGCACATACACACTCCCATCATTGAGCTTCCATTTAGTAGCAGAGTCAGATCCAGGAACAGAGGCAGGAATTAAATTTTATTTTTGGGGAAAAAAACAGTAATACTTCTAAAACATGTTTAAAAGGATCCTTGGAAATTTCATATCCATTCATTCTTTGGCCTAGAAATGTGAACTCCCATGCATAAGGGAGGAAGAGTACAAGCTCTGGAGAAGAGGTTCAGCTGCAAAGCAATTCTATCCCATTCCAGATGAATTTGACCACTAATCCTCAATTCACTTATAACTGGGGATAACAGTTGGCTCACAGAATTTGAAAAGAGGATTATGAGATAGGTTAGCAAATTACTTGAATTCAATAAAAGATGGCTGTTGTTTTTTAGTATGTGTACATAAAAAATATATTTAAAAATATAAGACCACCATATTTGTCATGACATAGATTATGGTAAAGAGGACAAATGAGACTGTATTTAAAATAAAACCCTTCAATTGAGAAATTTACAGATTTGAATAATTTAATATATGAAATATTGTTTTGGGAAGGATGGAGTGGTGTTTCTAAAGTGGCTGGGAAATACTCTGGTCCAATATAGACACTCTTATGGTAGATAGGCATTAGTAAATCAGGTTACACACTGGATTCCATTGCACAGTGTCAGTATATATTTGGATTGAAAACTGATACATTCATGACACAGAAAAGTTACATACAGAATAAGAGGCTTACCCCCAAATTTATTCTATTCAGAAAACATTTAGATTTCTACATTTAATAAAATTTCAAATGAATAACCACATTGTCAAAGGTACTTACACTGCTAATATCTCTGAAATTATCCATTAGATTTTAACATATCAGAAAGACAAAATGATACATAAATACTTTTTGGGGAAATATGTATGACAAAATTAAAAAATGCTTTATATTAGCTCTTTAACATTTTTATTTTGGCTTATTACCTCTAAAAATGGAGGGCATGATTCTCCAAGTCATAAAAGTGATTTGTTTTACTTTTATGGTTTTGTTGAATCCTGAGTCTTAATGACAGTGGTCGGCAAGTTTTTCTGTATTTTAGACTTTGTGAGACATATGGTCTCTGTTGCAACTACTCCACTCTGCCACTGCAGTGCAAAAGCAGCCATAGACAATATGTACACAAGTAAGCAGCTTTGTTCTAATAAGACTTTATACAGAAACACTGGAATTCGAATTACTTATTTCTTTCCTGTGTTATGGAATATTCCTTGCATTAAAAAAAAAACATTAAAAAATATAAAAACTCGTTTTAGTTCATAGGCCTTTCACAAAAACAGATGAAGGCCAGATTTGGTCCACAGGTCATAGTTTTTCAACCCTTATATTGTAAAAGCCATTAAAAATGATAAGTTTTCCTGATCTTTACAGGCTAATTCAAAATCTGAGACAATATTAAGGATTACAATGCGATGGCAACCTTTATTCAATTCACATAGAAAAGCATGCAGTATAAACATAAAATAGTATATCAATTTAAATGTTCAGTGCACTTTAGCTAAGCAAGTCACTAGCATATTAAACCATTTTTAAAAGCCTATATAGCTATACCATACATGTTGAGAGCAAACTTTTTCAGATCCTAAATTATAAATTGTGCTTTAGCTCACCTATTCATACCCTAACACTCTTCATTAAAAAAAATATTGTCCTACTTAGAAGATATTCCATTAGCCAACCGAAACACCTTTTTCTTAAAAACAGTGCAAGCAAGAATGCTACCATGCATAGAGTTTTTACAAAGAACAGTAACATGCAAACAACAACTTGATCATTCCAAAAAAGCTTCCCTGGCAGATCCGCACGAGTGGATCCAGAACTTGTGAGTGTTTTTGCACCTGTCTATCTGGAACAATGAGGCTACCATGTTTAGGCTCCTCCAAACCCAACTGTTCCATGCCTTCTTTCCAAAGTAGGCTCAATTTTTTTATTTTTCACTACACACAAAAAGATGAAAAGAAAGTTATCCGACATAAAACAAATATTTTCATATAGAAATGTATCCTTTCATACTAGCAAAATGTTTTTACAAAAACTGAACAAAACACAATATTAAAAACACATACACACAAAATCTAAAAAAAAAAAAGAATTTAATATTGGTCTAAGGTTAGAGTGCTGTTAATCCATGATGGCCTTGCATAAAAGGCCACTACTAGACATAAATAAAAGGGGGCAAAATAATGTCCACCCTCGGAAAATCTTTTAAAGAAACTCAAGTGTCATGAGCAGTGTGTAGACAACATAGTTTTATTTTAAAAAATCCTAGTTCTGAAGATAACTGAGGCTCATTAATAGGCCATTGTATCTAATAGTTAAATCAAGATTCAAAACAAACTATACCCAAATCAGATACAAATAATATTCATTTAAAAGAAACCTGCCTACCTTCTGGTAAAAAATATTCCCATCTGAAAATGAAGAAACTCTTCAAAATGAACAAAAGTATTCTGGTATAAGCTAATCTACCATTCTGACTTGATAGTTGACTAAAGATTACCAATTCAAAATTGTACAGAACTTTTATGAGGGGGAAAAAGATAACTTTAAAAACTTGTATTCCTCTCTGGACAAAAACATAAATGGCACCCTCCTAATGGGTCAACTTTTAGTTGCTTTTGATGGGCTAGCATTGGAAAGGCTGCTCTGGATTTTTCTTTTTGTTGACTGATTCGCATTTTTATTCTTCTTTTCAGGCACAAAAGAAGTAGACCAAGGAGACTGAAGGTGGTTAGGAAGACCATGCATCTCTGAGGACATCTTAAACAAAGATGACCCGAACCTTTGATCTTCAAACAGCCTATGTGAACTGCTTAACAAAACATCCTGGGAAAACTCATTTTGAAATAAGCAGCTTGGGGGTTTGAGTTCATTAGTTCCTGAGTTAGAACTGGGATGGACCGAAAATTCTTCACTCATTTCTTGGTCAGATGGAGAGAGGAGGAAAAAAGAAGACGATTTCCATTCATTTCCATTTTCTAACTGATCAGAAGTTAGAGAACCTTTGGAAAGGTTTGGCTTAGTTCTTTCTTCCAATTTATCTGGTTCCTCAAGAAATTCACTGCCTTGAGATGACTTTGATAACCCTTCCAAATCCACTGACTTAAAACCGTTATTACAAGGGCTCTTACTGTTGTCCGACTCAGACATCATTGAGTCCAGCTCAGAGATTTTGTCAAGGTAAGCTGCGTCCATTGAGGCTTCGCTGGATGTTCTTGTCCGATTCATTTCAGAAGAGCGAATAGAATTCAGCCTCTTAGATAAACATGAGGCCGATTTCTCACTCAGTTTTGAAGAAATGTGTCCGACAGAATTTGCTATCGTGTTGTCCTCTGCGTTTTCAAAATCCAAGCTTTGGGCATAGCTTGTGGAACAACAATCCCAAAACCCAGTCTTTGGGGAAGTAAAATGTTCTGATTTCTTTTCACTTTCATTTTTATCATCTTCTGAATCTTTATTACAAACATTTGTAGAATCACAAAAATCATCAAACACCAATTTTCTGAGATGGTTTGAGTGCTTTTTGGAACTTCCCACTTTGGCCATAGGGCTCTCTCTATTCTCTGGAGTGCTGAGCTGAAGGCAACTAAGGGACAAAGGAGTGCAAGGAGCTGGAAGATCATAAAGTTCATCTTTGAAGGGTGCACTGTCAGTTGGTTTATTACCCCATTCTCCTTCCAAATAAGTATCCATACTGGCATCAGTTACACCTAACATTATTTCCACCTGTTTTTGATATAAGTCTTTGTTCTTGGAACAATTTAGTTCTGCTTTGTTGGTGTTTTCCTGCCGGGCGGAACTGTTAGAAGGCTGTGTCAGGTGGGAGCTTGGGGTGGAAGAGCTAAGCTGCTTTCTGGCACCATCGCCTTGATTTGTGGATGCCATATCCTCCTCGCTGCCTTTGCACCCCGTGCCATCTGTAGAAAGTGCTCTCTGGCAAATGGAATTCATAGCTTCCTTCTCTTCACTTGAATTTTTTAGCTGTGCAATTTGAGATTCTAGTTCCTCTATATACTTATCACTTCGTTCCAGGGCTTTCTTGAGGCGATTGGTTTCACGTTCATACTGTTCTACTTTGGACTGAAGAGCAGCCACTGTAAACCTTCCAAACCTGCAAGGAATGGAAGGACAGTTAGCCTCACTTTTCAAGAGTGCCAATTGTCTCAGCGCATTCTAATTTCACATGTGATATTTCAATGAAGAGGACAAAGCAATGCCAGATGTATTTAAAAAAATGTTTTCCCCACTAATTTAACAATAAGCATATAATAATATGGCAAAGATTTAAAGAATACTTTTGTGGTCAAATCAAACCAGTGGTAGAAGAGGCAGAAACTTGCTGAAGATTTCCCTTCTAAGAACTAGCTCTATCAATTCATCTCATATATGCATGAAGAGTTATCCCCTAAAACAATGGCAAAGATTTATGATAACATTTGAACAGTGGTCCACATCTTGAAATATTTACATTCAATCATTTTCCTATCGTACAGCAGTGTTTTATAATACATTTCTTATACAATGTCACCTTGTCAAACATAAAATGCCATTTTGAAATTCAGAAATCCTAGCAGTCCCAGCAGGGATGGTTTTAAATACTTATTTGGATCCTTTCAATTATAGCCACCGATGATCTGAAGCTTTTACTTGGCCTTTCTGAACACTGGGCTTTAACTCATTTCAGTTCTACTTATTTTTGGCATTTTACAATTATGTGAAACATCAATCTCATTTTCTCCAACTCTGAAATATAAAGTCAGTGCTTGTGGTTACAATATATTACGCATAAAAACATTTTCACACTTTCTGAAAAGGAATACTTCGGAGAGTAACTGAAAAAGAACACATCAAAAATTCACTCCTTTTGCTTGAGCTTATCTTATTTTTCAACTTCCTTAAGAATGGGTATTGATTGGGCCTTTGCTAGTTTTGCTCAGTGGATAGAGCACTGACCCACAAACTGAAGGGTCCCAGGTTCGATTCTGGTCAAGGGCACATACCTCAATTGCAGGCTCAATGGCAATCCCCAGCCTGGTCAGGGCTCCTGGGGGAGGCCACCAGTCGGTGTATCTCTCTCACATCAATGTTTCTTTTTCTTTTCTTTTTTTTTTTTTTTTTAAATATATTTTATTGATTTTGTACAGAGAGGAAGGGAGAGAGATAGAGAGTTAGAAACATCAATGAGAGAGTCATTGATCAGCTGCCTCTTGCACACCCCCTACTGGGGATATGCCCGCAACCAAGGTACATGCCCTTGACCGTAATCGTACCCGGGTCCCTTCAGTCCCCAAGCCGATGCTCTATCCATTGAGCCAAACCGGTCTCGGCACATCAATGTTTCTTTCTTTCTCTCCTTCCTTCCACTCTCTTTGAAAATCAATGGAAAAGATAGGAACTGAGAAATTAATCCATGTAATTTATTTGTTTTCTGTCTCTCTCCTCCCCTTTAGAGTATAAGCTCCAGGAAAGCAATGGAAAAGTTAGCAAGTTATTTAATCTTCTGGTAAGGATTAAAAAATAAATAAAAGAAAAGAAGAAGAAGAATGGGTATTAGGTTCAGCCCAGTTATGAGCACCTAGTATGGGCTAGTGATATTTTTGGAACTGAGGATACAAAAGTCAATAGACTGTCCCACCTTAAGGGACATAAAATGTCTACCTTAAATTCCATCTTGCCACCAAGGAAAATTCTCTTAAAAAAACAAAACAAAACAACTGCTTGTATCAGTCAATAAACATAAGCCTTATATTCTAACCCATAAAAAAATAACTTTTCTCCACAAAAGCTATTTTCTTAATCACTGCTTTTATTAATTATATATTGAACCATGAAGAATTCAGGGGTTATCTCCTTGGAGGAAGATACTTAAGAAGGAGACTTTTTACAAATGTTTTTTATCTATGGGTTTATCTTTCCTCCCCCCCCCCCACTCCATAATGAAAATAATTACAATGAATAAAATGTATGAAGTATTTTTAAAAAACTATAAAGGAGAAGAAACCAATAGTAACTGCACCCCTTACAGTCACTACTTCATGCTCTATCACATCCTCCTACACTAGCTCAATTCTTTCTCCAGTTTACCTTTGATATGATCCTGGCTCTTGTCATCAAGGGAAAAAAGCAAGGGCAAAGGTAAATATAGATTCATAAATCGCAAGGTTAAAAAGGGCCTTAAAAGACTTGTTGCTGAATATTGATCTACTCACTGCAATTAACTAAACTCTCAGAAAGAGCATACTCCCTTCAACCTCTAAAAAGAAAAGCAAAAAAAAAAAAAAAAAAAAGGTATAATGAAAATAAAAGCAACTAAAATAACAAGCCTCCCTGTTTTAAAGACCAACCTTACCATGATGAGTATTTGGTTAAATGAAAAAAATGAAAGTGTTTCCTTCTTTAAAAAAAAAAAAAAAATTGGTTTATAAATGTATTTGACAAAGCTGTAGTTTCTGTAAGATAATTTAAAAAAGTGGACAAAGATCTTTAATGCTGTCAGCAACGGTGTGAGTTCTTGACTGTAAACACTCTGGCATAATAAAATAATCTACATATTTTTAAATAGAAAAATTGTGTAGCATGTTTACTTAATGCACACAGCAAAGTGACAGCTTTAAATTTGTCTGCCAAGAAAATTTGTTTTTTTAAGTGTAATTTTTATGATAAAGCTATCCTCAGATGAAAAATATCAAACGATTTAAAATCAAATATTGTTACTAAATAGTGTCTGTTATGAAAGGGATATCCTTGGGAACTCAGAGGCTTATACTACAATAACAAATATGGAACATTTCTCAAAAAAAATCAGAAGCTTCTTATTCCAGGTTTTGTTTGAAATTTTCACATATAATGTCATTGTAAGAGGCTATATTTGCATCTTGCGTTAATTAATTAAAAAATTTTTTTTGAGAGAGAGGAAGGGAGGGGAAGTGAGGAAAGGAGAGAAAGAGAGAAACATTAACTTGTTGTTCTACTTATTTATGCATTCATTGGCTGATTCTTGTATGTGCCCTGACTGGGGATCAAACTTGCAACTTTGGTGTATCTGGACGACACTCTGACCAACTGAGCTACCTGGCCAGAGCTGCCCCCACAAGTTTTTAAAAGAAGTTACAAAATGGTTCTGAGTTGAAGTCAAAATGATAGCCTTAATCATATTTTTTGTGTTACTTCTAAAAGAAAGCTGAAGTGCCATGAGAACAAACAAAGGCCAGCAAGGGAGCCTGCATATGAGAAGAACAAGCAAGCAGAAGTCACTGATGAAGCTGATTGTTTTCTAAAAGGTCACTGCCCTCAATTCCATTTCAATACTTAAAAAGTCTATAATACTTGGAGTGATCAGACCATTTTACCATGTTACTGAGGGACCTATGTTGATGGACAAATTAACAGAAATGCATAATGAAAGCCATGGAACTGATACATTAATCTATGTAATTTACTTGTTTTCTGTCTCTCTCTCTCCCATTAGAATGCAGGGAAGCAAAGAGTTTGACCATCCTATATTTACTGCTAGATCCCTAGAACAATTACTGGTGTATAGCAATTCTTCATTAAATATTTCTTGAATGAATGCTATTTTATTATTTTAAGACACATCAATGTCTTACATCAAGATAGGGCCAACACCACAGGATAAGCCAAAGGTCCTTAGGCCTCTTTTACATGTAAGATTTATGAGTCACCATATTATTAAACTAAATGTTTCATACATATGACTGCTGTTTTTTCACTGACACCAAGAAAAGCAACAAAGCATGGCTTATAACAGTATAACTTTTTTTTTCTTCCCACTACAGGCTTGCCATTCTACAATGCTCCATCAAACAAACAAACAAACAAACAAACAAAAAACCCTCCCACTTTTACCCTAAACAGATGAGACTTTTGACATAGGCTTTAGAGATTTTTAGCTTACCCTAGATACCTATATTAATTTGGCAAAGAGCAATTTACTTGATCACATAGAAATAACAATTAGGAATGCATATATGATGCTAAACTTCCAAGGAAGAAAACAATGAGGATAAGAGCTTATTTACCTTTGGGTTTTAATACTCTCTTATTCACAGTAATTCCAAATATTTCCAGAATACATCTCATTAAATGAATCAATGCCAAGGCAAGCCGGAGGGATTTCTAACATCATTTACCATACTTCCTTTTCCTGAGCAAATTTCAAAATGGAGTATTTTCATAAACATTCCATTAGAGACCAAAAGGCTTTGATTTTCAAAGTAGCAGTGATGGCCAAAGGCTTCATTATGTTAGAGAAAACATCGTAGAGCAGAATGGGAGCTGCAACTGATATCGGAAGTGTGTTCTGCTAGAATCCAGAAGAAGCTCAAAGGATTTCTCACTTTGCAATGCTAACTGATGTGTATGTACGTTCTGGTGGAGGGCTCCCCTTGTCCAAAAAGCTACAGAAATATAAGATTATTCTTGTCCCTACTGGAAAAGAAATTAAAGTCCTACTGGTTTCACCTTTGAGGTATTACAACTATTTCAAGGGGACCTCCAACGAAGAAAAGTTCCCATGACCACATTTACTTATAGACCATCATACAGGAAGAACAGGTTATGTTTGAAGGAGGTCAGAAAAAAGCAAATGTAGTAAAAGAACAGATGCCAGAATTTACTCTCTCTCTTTCTCTCTAGTTCTCAAATCATCCCCAACAAAAGGAAAACAGAGCAAGCATAGCTAGTACTGAGACCACCAAACTTTAGAAACATCATCTTGAGGGACAAAGGGGACACTGGCAAAGTGAGCTACCTGCCTCCCATGCTTCTTCGATTTTATATCTTTACCTCACTTGCTAGCTAAAGCAATTATGAAACAAAGTGAAAGAAACCTTTGGTTCTGGCCCAGCTTTGTGATCTAGCCTGATGGATTTTCAATGCTGATGTCCTTGCTGGACACCGTTCTCATATGCACAGATTTCAGCTGGCACAGGTTAATTAAATAACACCAGTCACTTAACAACATGGTTCAAATTAAAGTAAAATTTTCACTGCTAGCTTTAAGTTTACAAAACACTAATAAATAGCAGATGTATTATAATAAGTGACCAATCAGATCACTGTTCTCAAAGTCTGAGAGTGACTGGTCACTGA